AGCAACTTTTCCTTCTTAAGAACGGTCAGGTCTAGAGTCATGATATTTAGCTGAAAGTTTCTTTGGTAGGAGCTTAATAAAATTTAAGAACGAAAATGACTTTGACCTACTTTCAAGGTCAAAGGGCTCAAATGTGTCAAACACTTCAAACGACATCTTCTGAAGAAATAAAACGAATAGAATTTTCATATTTGCCTGGTGGCTTCGTAGGATAGAGCCCGACAAAGTTTGAGAACGATAATGACTTTGACCTTCTTTCAAGGTCACAGCAGTCAAATATGTCAAACTCTTCAAATAACTTTTTCTGAAGAACTAAAAGGTATGGAATCTTCATATTTGGCTGGTTACTTTAATCGATAGAGCCAGACAATGTTTGAGAATGGATATAACCTTGACCTACTTTGAAGGTCACAGTGATCAAATATGAGAAGCGGTTCAAACGACTTCGTCTGAAGAACTGAAAGGTATAAAATCTTCATAATTGGCTGGTGGCTTCTTGGATAGAGCCAGACAAAGTTTGAGAACAAAAATGACCTTGAACTACTATCTTGCTCACAGGGTCAAAAGTATCAAATACTTAATCGACTTTTTCTGAGGAACTGAAAGGTATAGAACCTGCATATTTGGCTGGTAGCTTTGTTCGTAAGAGCCCAACAAAGTTAAGTTTGAGGACAAACATGACCTTGACCTACTTGAATTTCAATGTCACAGGGGTCAAAAGTGTCAAAAACTTAAAACAACCTCTTTTGAAGAACTGAAAGGTACACAATCTTGATATTTAGCTGGTGGCTTCTAGGGATTGAGCTTGCGAATGAAAATTACCTGACCCACTTTTAAGGTCACAGGGGTCAAAAGTGTCAAACTTATCATACAGCATTTACTGTATAATCGAAATGCATATAATCATATTATTTGGCTGTTTGCTACTTGGAATTGAACCCGACAATGTTTGCGAATGAGCTACAAACAGCTTCTTTTGAAGAAGTGAAAGGCATTGAGTCGTGATATTTTACAAGTAGCTTACTTAGATGGAGCCCAACAAAGTTTGCTAATGAAAATGACTTTTACCTTCTTTATCCTATAGCTTTATCTTAATCTAATTTGATATAGAGTATGCTTGGCCCAACATGATTCAATGCTGTAGAAACCATGCCCCATCCCAATTGGGACAGCAGATCAGTAAAATATTTATTTAATATTTTGCTATGACTGCTTAAATATCCAGGTGAGCGCTACAGGCTCTCTGGGCCTCTTGTTAAAAATACCTCTGACCCTAATGAGAATGCATGTCATTGATAGCACTTCTATTTATGTAAGGATTACAAGAATTCAGTATTTTGCCTATATTTATGCAATTCATATAGAACAACATTTGTCATAGTGACAAAATTAGCATACGACATAAGATGTTTAAGTTAATGTACAATTTTAGTTTCATGTTTAGGATTTCCAACATGGGACTGGGTAATACATGTAGTTCCTGTATCGAAAAATGAAGAGCAAAGAAGGTTGAATATCATCTTTAGTAGATCTAATAAAGATCCTTTCATGGTGGGTGCCAAGATCCTTCTAGGATCTCTTGTTAGACTGACCAGAAGAACAAGATTGCTGCCATTGATCCATCTTGGATTTGACAGTACAAGTTTGTTATCCCTATTTCTGAATTCTTCACAGATAGCTCTGATAAATTCAAATGTATATTCTCCTAAACCAGGTCAAAAGACAGCCTCATTTTGAAAGAATAATGTCAATTACAACAGTATGAGGTTTGGATCACCAGTTAGCCAGCAGAGTACATAAAGGGCATGTCTCAGATAAACATGGATAATGGATTCAACCTGCCCAACACATCTACATCTACATGTATATATAAATTTATAAACTACATTTTGTTTAGAAGACTGATTTTATTTTATGCCAATTTTAGTGCTGATTTTTTAAAAGTTTTGATACATGTAATATTACAGGGGTTATTCATTGTATAAAATATCACCCATGGCCACC